ATGTGATTATTGATGCATAGAGCAGATGTATGCAATTCTATTAAATTCTCAATCATGTGGTTTTTTTAAGCTCAGTTTTATTTTCTCTACAAAGATTTCCTGGGAAGAGGAAATAGAGGAAGGAAGTAGAGGGAATTTGTTTACACTTAAGTTTTGAAAACAGACTTACAAGAGCCTTTGGGTAGTAGGATGTCAGTTTATGGAATTTCATTTGAGTTCTTTACTGTAGAAACTGTAAACACTAGCAAAAGGTATGTAGACAGGATAGGAGAAAATTAGCATAGGGTTTCAAAAGAAACACAAGAAAGCTGAAAGAAATATGCCACATCTTATTCTCAAAATGAAATGTAGCTAATAGCATTCTTTTCACTTCTTAAAGAAACTGAAGTTAATTAGCTATTTTTTAAAATATAATTTTATTAAAGTTTTTACATGAAAAAAGATAAATATAAGAAATATAGAGGAGAGAATAAGAAAACCAAAAGAAAAAGTGTAACAACAATACAAACAGAAAAGAAAAAGGTAATTAATAAAGTAACTTCCAATTTTCTTTACAACAGTTACAAACCAATTTATTATCTCTAATCTCTCTTTATGATTACATCACACAGATTTCTTCTATTCCATATTCAACCTTTTTAATCAGCAAATCTGATCACCATTTGATTTCTTTTTTTCATTTTTAGCAAAAGTTCATAAAAGGCTTCCAGTCTTTTACAAAAGTACTTTTGTTTTATCTCTGATCAAATAGATAAATATTGCCATTTCTGCAAATCCTGACATCTTCACAATCCAATGTAAAATTTCTATGCTTTTCACACTTCCAACATAGATCAGAAGTACTTTTATACATTTTAGACACTTTTTTTAATCATACCAACAGTACAGTACATCAATGTAAATTTCAGTCCTTTTAACCACATTCTTTCCTACTAATCCATCTGTAGATTATAACCAAACTTCTTAGCTCATTTTATCATGCACCATTTAACTTGTTCTTCCATTTCAAACCTCAACAAAAGTTAATACATTTTAGTAATCGTTTGTTGATCATTTGTACACTGTTCAATTTCAAATTCCGCCTTATGTTGTTCAATTTCAGTTATTTTTCTATGTACCTTAAACCTTTATTTTAATTGTATATAAGAACTGGAACTATTGGAAATATTGAAAACTAAATGCCTCTGCGCTCAGTTGTTCTCTTGATTTCATTTTAAATTCTCATGTTCCTGTACTAACAAATCCAGATATGTTAACAATTTGACTTTGCCTGCTATTTCTCTTCTATAAAATGTGTCTTGTGTTGAAACTGATAAAAGTATTTTCAGGCACAGTCTGAGTTTATATCTATTCCATTTTCTTAATGTAACACTTCTAACATAGTGGTTTTGGAAATCCACATTAAATTTAACTTTATTGTACCATTAAAAAAACATTCCACCCTCAGGTTATCTTCTTCTACTGGTTATATTCTTATTCTAATATTCTCTTATTTCTCAAAAGTATCTACTCTTTCATCCAAACAAAACAGCAGGCTGCAAAATACAATCTAATGTCAAAAAGGTGCATTTCTTGAAAACTATACAGCACTTTGAAATTTAGAAGGCTGGTGGCAAAATTTATAAATTATTTACTTTTCATTAAAACATAGTTACTTTCTCTCTTTATTGTACACTTTCATTTATACAATATATTAAAATACTAATTTTGTCATAACCATTTTTCACTTACATCTACCGTATTTCTTGGAGTATAAGATGCACTGGAGTATAAGACGCAGTTTAGTTTTGGGGGAGGAAAATAGGGGAGGAAAATCTGCCTACCAGGTATTCATCTGGCTAGCTTCCTTAGTCTGGTCAGCTTCAGCTGGTTTGCTGGTTTTGAGCACGTGCTCGTGCTTTTTATCCCTTGCTTGGGGATAAAAAACAACTTCTAAAGCACAGCTGATCTTTGGAGAGAAAAGCAGGCGAAGCTCGGATGATTGCTTCCCTCGCTAGCACCTCGTTAGGGCTGAAAAATGGTTTTTAAAGCACAGCTGATCTTTGGAGAGAGAAGCAATGAGAAAAGCAGGTAAAGCACGGAGATCGCTTCACTTGCTAGCACCTCATTAGGGCTGAAAAATGGCTTCTAAAGCACAGCTGAGAGTCGGAGGGAGCAGGCAAAGCGCGGAAGATCACTTCACTCACTAGTACTTCATTAGGGCTGAAAAAAGCTTCAAAAAAGCTACATTAAGAGTATAAGACTCTGATTATCAGCCTCTTTTAGGGGGGAAAAAGTGTGTCTTATACTCTGAAAAATACGATATTTCATATATTCATATCATGTTTCCTTTAGTAATCTTATACAAATTCTGAAAGATGCATTTTGAAGTCTTGAGTATCTAAGGAAATTTGAACCCAAAATTTACTCTGATCTTCCCTGTGTCCCATCCACAGGAATAGGACACATAGGAATGTGTGCTATCCACTCATCATGAATCAGCAGAAATTCTGCTTCTGTTTCAGGTCACTGCTATTCATTTGACTCCATTCAAAGTAATGCATAATGAAACATAACAAATTTCATTAATTTACACTGCCTCCTCAGAACAGTACTCAAAACTATTTTAATAACATTGCAGTTGACACTGAATTTAGACTGTTATTTGCATAGGCTGGAGATGAAATGAATTACAACTTGTGCACAACTGATAAAAAAAATATATTTCCAGAGAACATCAATGCCATGACTAGGTAGAAATGAAGAAAGAATTGTAATGCAGATATAATATGACACATGTTTTGACACCTTCTTTCACTCACTCATCTACATAATCTCAGTCTTCTAAAGTAGAGGAGAACGTCACAAATATTACAGATGCCTTTTATTATTTATTTGGAATTATTTTTGGCAGTCAAGTGCTACAGGGAGGCAGGGCTAATCTAAGTGTTACCGTTTGGTTTGCACTCTGCAAGAAATTGCTGTAAGAAAATGGAGAAGTGCCCTTGGACTGTTTTAAAGAATTCTAAACAGGAATTGTATGTGTTTTTCGGTCCTATAATCCTAATTTTGTATTCTTTATAAACAACTTTGCATCCATGCAGTACTGTTTTCTGTCAATATTTCAAAGTCTACATGAACCATCCCTGAGAATAGTCAGGAGGTTATCAAAAATACCAGAAATGTTCTGCACATGATGGGTTGGACATTAGGAAAGACATCCTTCAGGAAATTATTTTTTCAGTCATCTGGACTTCTCTAACCTTCAATAAGTCTAATCAATTGACAATCACTTTAATAATGGAAAGGAACTGGCTTATGTGTAGAGAACAGATTTCACCAGAAGTCAGATCCACTTACATTCTTACCAGGCTATTATGTTCCTAGATCTAGACTTGTGATTCCATTATAACAAACTGAAATTTAACTAATTGAAACCAGTTTTTTAATGTTGGGGTTTAACACACTATAGATATTTCTTTTGGCACTTATTTGGCTATTGCTCAGATGTTTTATAGATATATTGAGATTAAATAGAAAGATAAATTAAACAAACAGTATTGTTGAGTCATTATTGTCCAAAAATGTCTAAGTGGGAAATGAAACAAGATCTTTTCACTTTTCATTCCACACATTAACCTAACACCACACAAATAATTGTAGTAGGAAGAACTAAAAATATTCAGCAATGAAAAAAGGAGAAAAATAAGTACAGTGTTTCTCTGAAAATAAGACCCAGTCTTATATTTTTTAACTCCGAAATAAGTGCTTGGCCTTATTTTTGGGGAGGTCTTATTATTTTGGGGCATGTGGAGCAAGACGAGGCTCCTCTTGCCATCTTACCTGATTTCCAGCTCTGTGTTTAAATATTTTCGGGAGGGCTTATTTTGGGGGGAGGGAGGCTTCTTTTAGTGCATGTGCTCAAAAGCCTGATTGAGCTTATTATCAGGGGATGTCTTATTTTCGGGTAAAGAGGATAGTAAGGTTTTTGAATTATTAGTCATTACTCACACAACTCTCATTATTCTTAGTATGATACACAAAACTAGTTAATGCAGAAAACAATGCTTTCTGTTTCAGTTCTTTATGTCAGTTTGTTAAGTCTGGGTTCTTTGGAATCAGGTGTAAACTACATTATTTTAGTTCTATCAAGCAGATGGTGTTCTTGGATTCTCCTTCCCTCCCCTAAATTAAGCACAACTGATTACCGTGAGGAAACAAAGCATGTAGTCTAGCAGCTGTTGCTGAAGAAACTCCACCTTTGAGTCTGATTGATAAAGAAAAGGTGGCATTTTCCCTTTGACTCATGATTATTTCATATAATCATGAGTTTTCATCTAGCTCTGATATATCTTCAAAGTGAAGATGTGTGGACAGAATAATAATTTGGAAGCTGCCATTTAGATCATCATTTTCAATCCATTGCACAGTATTGAAATTCAAAATAAAGTATTTCTGAGAAATCATTGTGCAGTATCTGATTGAATACCATGTGATAGTATTTCTGTATCTGAATAATGATATAACACTTCTTCACCAAGGGGAAGCATACTAATGATATCCGTTCAATGAATAAAAACACCATTATAAATATATTTTTTCAAATAAATCATACTGATATATATCCATCTCTTGTCTTCATACAGTTGTGACAGAATAATATAAAATAAATGAGGGAGCAAGAAGATGGAACTAAGAAGTATTGATCTCATCCTGAGCTATCATTTCATTGATGTGTTGATTTCAAACCTCCAAGATTAGTTCATAGATTATTGCAGAAGTGATTATTGTAAATCTGATGTCCAAAACCTGCCACACAAATGTAATGATGTCTTACTCTACCACACAAACAATGCCATCTCATGTCAATGTTCTTCGTACTACCAGAAAACAACTGCAGAGAGCAGAGTGATATCTGCATTAATTTAGCAATAAATGAAGTGTTTGTACAATTACGTAAAAAAAAATTCAACTGACTAATTTTAAGCAGCTGTCAAGAATGACAAACATAAGATACTTACATTTAAGGCACATGAACTGTCCTCTGGTTTCTTACAGGACTCTGGAGTATCATTCTTCCTGATCAAAATCCTTATTTTATCATCAAGTTCTACACTATCACATCTGGTTTCAGAAGAGAAAAATAAATGATACCTTATTTTCTAAAGACAACAAATATACATATATTAATTCAATTCTTTATTTAATTAGGAATATTCTTAAGCATATTCTAAGAATTTGCCAAAAATTATTCTGTCAAATCAAATTGGAGCTTCTGGTAAAAAAGATAATCTGTTCATTACGGTAGTTATGAATTTTACAAAATATTGTTCAAATATTTTTAAAAAGATGCTAAATTAGTTGATATTATGAATCTGCTGATCTAATAATCTTAAATATATCCATCTTGGAACATAAAATATGGTTCTCATATGTACTAAATAGCTACAACGGGGTTTTGTGGCCACATGTGTTAAGTTGTTTACATTTAAACCTCTTTGTTTTCAATGAAATATTCATTAGAAGTTTTGAATTACAGGACCACCCAGTGAAATAGTCTTTTAATTAAAGAGGTTTCTTTTTCCTATTTGGGCCAGTTTTCTATACTGTTTCATCCAGGGGTTTTTCTTATATATATTGTATTTCCATTAGCTGATCAAAAATTTTAAGCTTACCAGAAATTTTCTGTAGATTTGGACACACTTTTTTCACAGCTGAATTTTATTTTTTGTCTTTTTAACAAGAGATACAGCCTTAAAATATTATGATTGACAGCTATGCCAGAGACCCAACTTCCACAAATTCATTCAGTTCCAGAATTATCAGTTAACAATATCCATTTTCCAAACTGTTGCTCCCCAAATATCCTTTACTTGCACTTCAACGTTCAGAATTTACAGTTCAACATCTTGAGAGTACTAGGTTGGTAAGACTGATATAAAAAACAAAATGCCTCTTTTTACATAAACATTTACATCCACAGTTCATTAATACTTAATACTTGGATGGATACTTCTGCACCAGGTGATTTGAAACAAGCATAGAAAATTGCTTACATAAAGAAATTTAGTTCCTGTACTGCAATTTTTATTTCAGCCCCATTGTCTTACAGGGTTGCTGCTATGAGAATAAAATGAAGGACATCTCCATGGAAGCTGTACTGAGTTCTTGAAAGAAAAGTGGAGCCTAGCAAATACATTTTTAAAAAACTATCCACTGATTAGTATGCTGTCAAACACAGCTATATCTTAAATTAAAGCTACAAGCTTGCTTTGACTGCACTGATTGGAATCTTTTTGAAAGTACCTCTGCAGACTTAAATGAACTTAGAGACTGTAACACAGGGGTGAAATCCAGCAGGTTCTAACATGTTCTAGAGAACCGGTAGCGGAAAATTTGAGTAGTTCGGAGAACCGGCAAATACCACCTCTGACTGGCCCCAGAGTGGGGTGGGAATGGAGATTTTGCAGTATCCTTCCCCTGGAGTGTGGTGGGAATGGAAATTTTGCAATATCCTTCCCATGCCACGCCCACAAAGCCACGCCCACAGAACCGGTAGGGAAAATTTTGGATTTCACCCCTGCTATCAGCTTCACCCATATGTCAGCTTCTGTGAAGACCTATGTGTACCCACCAGGAACTTGTGAATATACAGTTATAACAAACCTTGGTTCACAGCTAAACTTAAGCAGCTACGTCATTCCAAAGAGGAAGCCTACAGAAAAGGTGATAAGATGCTGTACAATCAAGCCAGAAATGTATTAACAAAGGAGATCAGAGCAGCAAAAAGAAGCTACTCTGAAAAGCTAAAGAATCAGTTCTCAACAAATGAACCAGCAAACATGTGGAAAACTCTTAAAAATATCACTGGCTATGGCAAACCTCCTTCCCAGGCTGAAGGAAATCAGCAACTGGCAGATGACCTGAACATGTTTTACTGCAGGTTTGGAAGGAAACTACAGCCACCTATCTCCACAATCCCCATCTCAGACACACCAACAATAGTAAAACCTCCTACAACTGATCCCATCCCATTGGGTTCACAACCCATAGTGATCACAGAAAAGGAAGTGCAAGACCTATTTCACAGACAAAAGCCAGGAAAAGCTCCAGGCCTAGACAAGATAACTCCTTCTTGCTTAAAAGTCTGTGCTGACCAATTGGCCCCCATCTTCACCCGTATCTTCAATAAATCACTAGAGATGTGCTATATTCCTTCTTGCTTCAAATGCTCTACTATCATCCCAGTGCCGAAGAAGCCCACCATCAAGGAACTGAACGACTACAGATCAGTTGCTCTAACATCTGTAGTCATGAAAAACTTTGAAAGGCTAGTGCTGTCCCACTTGAAAACCATCATGGATCCACTGTTAGACCCAGGGGTGAAATCTAAATTTTTTTGCTACCGGTTCTGTGGGCGTGGCTTAATTAGTGGGCAGGGCTTGATGGTAAGATGACTGGGTGAGTGTGGCCAAGTCAATGTCATTTCTTTGGCCTTTTTTAACCTCCAAACACAACACAACACAACTGGCTCACCACAATGTAAAAGCAGCTATGCTAGATCCAAAATGGCCCCTGCAACAAGCAGGAACCTCACACAGCCACAAAAAGTCCAAAAAACCAACTTTCACACTTTACACACACAAAATTCCACATACAGTTTTGTGAGATTTTGTGTGTTTGTGTAGTTAGAGTGAAACACTACAAAACACACTAAATCTCAGAAAGCTGCACAAATATTATTTTATTTTTATTTATTTTTATTTTTATATAAAAGCAGCTAAATTTAAAACTTCCTAAACTTTAAATAGCTAGGTCTAAAAAAAGAACAACTAAAAAAAAACCCAATTAACTATTTTTTTTAAAGCTCCCAAAGGGGAAAAAACTTACCCAATAGAACAGGGCTCTCCAACCTGCACCTTTAAGACTTGTGGACTTCAACTCCCAGAATTCCTCAGCCAGCTTTGCTGGGAGTTGAAGTCCACAAGTCTAGGCAGGAAGGCAGGCAGGCAGAAAGAGCTGCTCACCGATGAACTTGATTGCAGGCAGGGCGATTCAGTTGCTTTCTGATGCATGGATTGCGATTGTCATGTGATCAGCAGCTAAGGTAAGCAAGCTGGACACTGGGAGAGGGGGGACAGAAAAAAAGAAACTTTTTTTCTTTTATATGGCTCTGGCGATCCAAGCTGTTGCCTGATTAGCAGGCAACTCAGCTGGGATGTCAGAGCTTGGCTGGTCAGAACCATTTAAAAGGAAAAAAAGGCTCTGATGATCGCGGGGCTCAGCTGGGCATGGGGGGGCGTGGGCAAGGATTTTTGCTACCAGTTCTCTGAACTGCCCGCCGCTATCGCTACCTACTCACCCGAGCCAATCCAAACCGGGAGCATTTCACCCCTGGTTAGAGCCCTTGCAATTTGCATATCGAGCAAATAGATCTACAGATGATGCTGTTAATATGGCTCTGCACTACATCCTACAACATCTTGAATCTCCAAAGACCTACACAAGGGTTCTCTTTGTAGACTTTAATTCAGCATTCAATACCATCAGTCCAGACACACTTCTAACTAAGCTAAACCAGCTACAGGTACTTGAACACACTTGTAAGTGAATCATAAGCTTCCTAACAAACAGGAAGCAGCAGGTGAATCTAAGCAGAATCAGATACCTGTACAATTAGCACAGAGCCCCCCCCCCCTTCTCTTTTCTCTGTATACTAATGACTGCATCTCTAACGACCCATCTGTTAAACTACTGAAGTTCGCAGATGACACAACAATGATCGGTCTCATTCGAGACAATGATGAATCTGCATACAGACGGGAGGTTAAACAACTAGCCTCGTGGTGTGACTGGAACAATCTGGAACTGAACACACTCAAAACCGTAGAAATGGAGATAGACTTTAGGAGAAACTCTTCCATACTTCCACCTCTCACAATACTAGCAACATAGTATCAACAGTAGAGACCTTCAAATATCGCAAGATCTAAAATGGACAGCTAACTTCAAAAAGGTCATCAAAAAAGCACAATAAAGAATGTTCTTTCTGCACCAACTCAAAAAGCTCAAACTGCCCAAGGAGCTGCTGATCCAGTTCTACAAAGGAATTATTGAGTCTGTCATCTGCACTTCTATAACTGTCTGGTTTGGCTCTGCAACCCAACAAGATGGGCACAGACTTCAGAAGATAATTAGAACTGCAGAAACAACAATTGCTACCAACCTGCCGTCCATTGAGGACCTGTATACTGCACGAATCAAAAAGAGGGCTGTGAAAATATTTACAGACTCACATCCTGGACATAAACTGTTTCAACTCCTACCCTCAAAACAACGCTACAGAGCACTGCACACCAGAACAACTAGACACAAGAACAGTTTTTTCCCGAATGTCATCACTCTGCTAAACAAATGATTCCCTCAACATTTGATTGATTTACTAAGTCTGCACTACTATTAATCTTCTCATCGTTCCCACCACCCATCTCCTTCCACTTATGACTGTATGATTGTAATTTTGTTGCTTGTATCCTTACAATTTATATTGATATTGTTTCCTGATTGATTATTTGTATCCTATGACTATCATTAATTGTTGTACTTAATGATTCTTGATGAATGTATCTTTTCTTTTATGTACACTGAGAACATATGTATCAAGACAAATTCCTTGTGTGTCCAATCACACTTGGCCAATAAAAACTTCTATTCTATTCTATTCAATAGAATAGAATAATAACTTCTAATCTATTCTATTCTAGATCACTAATTATTATTAGGTACTGCAAAATTAGATACTTTATATAGAAAGAACCAGGCAATCTTTCTGTTAATCCAATGGAATGGCAAAAAAAGCCATTCACTTAATAATAAATGAAAGAAATAAACAAATAAAGCTTTAATTCTTGCAACTAGTCCATATTAAATTGCAGGAGATCAGCAAAACTGCCAAACCAGCCTTGTTACTGAGGCCTGGTGTAGGCACGCTGCAGAGATACTGCGAATTATTTGTTACATAAAATATATTAACCTGTCCCTGAGAAAGAGATCATAGTAACTTTTTCTTAGAATAAGAATTAAACTATTCTAGCAATCCAATTTAATCTTTCTTTAGAAACTGG